ACATTCCAAGCCATGCTATCCATAACTTTGCAATTGAGACTGAATTCAAAGCTGGATCTCTCAAGTGAAAGGCTGATAACTTACTGCGTAATCATCTGAACAATTACAATTATATAGGATATCCAAAAAGTTACTGTGCAGTGGAAAGGTTTAAGTTTTAATAAAAGTGAAGTTTTATGAACAACACTGAAATTTCTCCTACAGCAAATGCTGGAAATATCCTCCAGAAGCCTAAAACTCCAGGATAGAGGTTCAGAGACCTAACAGGCCAGGTTCCATGGGAGATTATGTGATCAGCAAAGAAATCTTCCAAAAACTGTTGTCCAAAAACCAGAACATCTGTTAGCAAGCAGTAATGCTATCTATCACAAAGTGGAAGCATGGAATATACAACTTACGTGTGTCCTATGCAATATTGTGTATATATATAACTTTAATGCCATTACAAATTTCTCACTAAATAGTAACTTTTCAGATACACTATCAGGAGTCATGGCAGTGACTCCGTGCCAAGTAAAAAAGTTGCTGACTGACTATATATACAGGAATCAGAGTTGCCGATTTTCAGGGGTCAATTTCTCCACCTCCCAAACACCTGAAGTAATTCTGAATATCTCATTACCTAAGAAAACAATTTTATTTTGAATGTGCAAAATTTCAAGATTTTCTAAAAGCAGTTGCTGAAATATAAGTGATTGAAAAGTGCAAAAACCAAGCAAAAAAAAAAAAAAAAGCTGTATTTTCTTCTTCATCTGGCACTGCAGACATTCATAGAGAAAAAAACTACTGGGTCTAGAAAGCTCAAATTTTATACTTAAGCCTTTCTCATTATCAGTGAGGTGCTCACAAAACTTCCTGGTTGATAAGTCAAAGTTCACAGGGGTTTCCCATAGAGATAATTCAGTTTTACAACTTAATTTTATGCTTATAAGGATAAAATTGCATGGAAACAAATAAATTTTATTCAAAATGTTACTCAGAATTACAAAAACTCAAATTTATGCAAATTAAAACTTTTTATAATGATTTTTCTAAATGGTATATCAAAAGTATCAAGCGGCAGTGTGTTCAGTTGGCAGTCATTGAGTACCAATCTTGTGTCATGACATAATAATACAATTATTAAACGAAAACATCTGAGATATAAAAAAAAAATTTTGCCAAATAAAAATTTATGTCAATTTAGATAATGGTCAAAATTTTTATTAGCAGTTTTTCTTTGGCAAAGATAAGCTTGACACTTGAAAGTGGTACCCACAAGATTTTTACCTGTATTTATCTTACATTTTGCCTTTAAGTGCCAAGCTTATCTTTATCGAAGAAAAACTGCTAAGAAAAATTTTGACAGTTGTGTAAATTGTCATAAATTTTTACTCAGTGAAATTTTTTTTACATCTCAGATGTTTTTGTTTGGATATAATAGTACATGAGAATTCTCATATTCAATATAAATCAAAATAAAATTTAGAAAAATCTTCTCTTTTTCTTAAAGTATGCTTCTTTTTAAAAGAAACAAGCATATTAATATAAATTATATAAAAATTTCTCACATTCTCTCTTTATGAATACAGCTACTAGTTTAGTTATTAATGAAGACTTATCACACTACAATCAAAAGGTGACCAGATTAGAACTTCTTTATTCTTTTAATTAAACTCAAAAATGTACATTTCCTCATTAATAGCCAAATTGGTAGTTATGTTGATAAGAGAAAATATAATAATTAAAAGATGTGAAACATTTTATAACAAGTAACATTTTCCACATCTTTTTTTGATAAATATTTATTTCAATCCTTCAAAACAATACACTAAAGCAAAAGATTGTCTTCTATTATCTTAGTCAGTCATGTTTCAAAAGACAACAAATTGTATCTTAACTTTAGATAAACATTAATTAGTCAGATTTTTCAATCTGATAAATTTTAACTTGATTAAATTAAAATTATTAATAAAATCAAAATTAATTATGTTTAACCTGAAAGTTAATTATAATAAATTATATTAATATGTTGTGAATAAATATCATATGTAAATAAATAAATAAGAACATGCAATGTAAGAAACAACATGAAAGAAATATTCCTCATCTGAAACACTTTTTCTTGCAATTTTTTTAAATCTAAATAAATAAATTTCACAATTAATACAATATTCTTTCATATTATTGTTGACTTAGTAACATCACATACAGGAATTTTCCTATTTTTAAAAGAATCAAGGTCAAATTTAATCAGAATTCTTATTTTTCATACATAATTCAAATTATAATTTATTTTCAAATTTTGTTTCCGTTTTTATATTGTGTAGAACCAATTATATTGAATAAATATTTATATTAAGGAAATTTAAAAATTCTCTTATAACTTCTAAAAGATTGTTCAATTATTAAAGTATTTTTTTTTATTATAAAGAACAATAAAAAGTTATAACTATTTTTGCTTATCACAGGTGATTGAAATTTAACCATCTGTGATAAGTAAATTATGAAAATTCACTCAACCAAAATTTCAATTATTTCCTCATTTGATGAGTATACAGGCACATGCAATGGTATCACGTTACTTTTCAATTTGTTTACATATTTTAGCAAATATAAAACTTTTTCTGTTTCTGAATTTTTTCCTAAGATTTGGAATATAATAAAAAATTTATAGCCTAAAATTTTTCAAATATTATAATACCATGATTGTTTCTACAAAGAGATAAGGAATAAATGTTATATCTTTCTATAACAGAAAAACCTTTGTAACAAGTGTAATTAATAATTATTACAAATTTATTCTTAAACTTGTTATAACAAAGATGAATTGCTTCATATTTATGTTCTTTGTTATATTCAAAAGATTTCAAGAGTGCTATTAATTAACATAATTCTAGTCCAGAAGAAAGATTTTACTAATTTCTTTGGTAACATACACTTTTCATGTTTTGAACAGCATATCTGTTAAAAAAATCCTCACTTATTAATGTAAGAAGTGGATTACATGTAAAATCTAAACAACAATAATCACCATAAAAACAACCAAAATGAAACTAAAACCTTCCCATTTGGTTTTATTTATACCATCATATGTTATATTTATATTTTGTATGAGTCAATTTTTCTAAGTCTCTGTAATGCTTTTTTTCAAACATTCATACTTTAAATATTTTGTTTTAAGTTTTTGTAGTATTCTATATTTCTAATTTGTATACATTGTTTCTTTTATCTGCATTCTCTAGATGATTATAGTATCTGAAAAAGTCTGAAAAGACTTTCCAATAAGGTTGAAAATGTTTGTGATAAACAAAGTTTGCTGGAATTTATGGATGTAGTTTATACATCTCACTAATTACAATATCTAAAATAATTTAAATAAAAAGTACTCAACTATATTTTGTTCTTTTTTTTTTATTTATATAAAATAAATAGAACAAAATTAAGTTTTTTACTATTTTACGATAACAGAAATTTCTATAAAAAATGTAAAAATTATTTAACTATTAAATTACTCATTTTCCAATGTTGTTCTTTATTAGTATACATTTAACTATTTACAATCATTGTTTATTCTTTTTTAAACTTTTTAAATTAAAAACTCTTCTATAAGTTTAAAATGTTTTTGACAAATCGTCCCTCATTTCAGATCATTTTGATGATAATTACCTGATAAATAATCTTTATTTACATGAATTTTTAATTACTGGTATTAGATATTACAATCATCAAAGTGGTTTATATCTTTTTTTTTTTTGTTTTTCTTGTATATAATTTTTTTTTTACTTATCAAATGTTTTTAGATTTAGTTTATATTTACAGAAAAGCAAAAATTTATTTAAAAAATTTGTTAAAGTCAACTGATACAAAACAATATCATTATGTAAATTTATAACTTACTTTAATATATTAATAAGAAATAATAATTAAACATGAAATTGTTTAAATTATCAGAAAAAGAATAAATTCTTCATTTACATTATCTTATCCCTAGTAAAAATATCATTTGAAATCATATTGTCAATGATATATGATTGGAAATGATAAGACATGACAACACTTGATACTGTTGTACTTGACATCAAACGATATCACTGTCACTATTAAGATGTTTTATAAGTTTTTTATTTAATGTCAAAGGTTCAAAAATCATGTCATGTGATATCACATGATTGACATTAATTGATATGTCCAAAAGTTTTTGTATATATCTTGAAAAGCATTTTATTGTTAAAGATTTCTGATTTTTATAGAACTGTTTACAATGCACTTGATTTGATACTATTTGAAATTACTTGATATCAATCATAAATCATTAAAGAAATGATATCATGTCCAAAATGATTTTTTGTACAGTTTCAAATTATATGAAATAATATCACTTGTAATCAAATAATATAATCTGATGATTTCAATCAAATAATAATTGAAACTGTTTAAAGCAGATACAATATCACTTGATGTCATTTGAAAATAATGAAATGATATTTTCATCAGGATACTACCTAAACATTTAAAGTTTGTAAATAGATAATTAAATGTTCACAAGATAGTCTTCATACATATTTTTTAAATATAGTTAAATACTAACAGAGTAAAAATGGCATTTCTAAGAAACAGTTGTTATTTTAATGAGTTAATATAAAATGTTCATTTAAAAAAAATCATTTTTTCCTAGTCCCATTTCTTGTTTATATATTCTCTTTTGTGATTTTTAAGATGTTTTCTCATTTCCACTATATGCAGTTTTATAAACATGTTCCAATCCAAATCAGCATCATCATTGTTTTATGTTCATGAATTTGAATTTTGTCTCATATATCATTTTTTGATATTTTCAATGTTATCACAGTTAGGAGAAAACAAACTTTGGAGTTTAATGTATTATATACAGTATTACTATATATTAAAGGTTTTGTATAATTTTAAAATTATTGTTAAGCACTCACTTATCAATTCAGAAAATCTTAAATGCACTTAGGATAAAATAGTTTTAACAGAATTTTATTTATAGTACTTACGCCCTTCGTTTAATTTTGATATCTTGAAATGTAAATAATTTTTCTTCAGTTAATTCCTGAAAGTAAAAGAAAAATTTTTAAAAAACTACAAATGTTAAAAACTCTTGCAATTTTCCATTTCTGAAGCCAAGTAAGAATAAATAAATAATTTAATAATTTCTTAAAACATATTACTTAATTCTTTAACTAAAAAACTATAGAATTACAAAATTGTTTTATAATTCTTTTAATTATTCAAATGTAATATATATTATTTCATTACAAATTTCAAATATAGAACATGTAAATATCCTGTTCAAAATTTTAAATTCATTCTCTACTTTTGAAAGGTTTTTATTGTTCTGTATGAATACTATAATTTCAAAAATGCCATAATATTAATACAAGAAAAATACATTATTGTAGTGCTCTCTGGTGGCTTCAAAAGCATCGGCAATCACTACATTGATGATAGATCAATATTTGTCTGGCCATGGTCTAGCTAATTAATTTCAGTAATTAATGTTCATACAGGATGTGAGTTTTAAATAGAATTGAGTATCATTTGAAAACATTAATTGAGGAATGAGGATTTAAGATAATATTTATCAATATTAAATCTTTTTGAGCAATTAATTATATAAGGTTGCATATGCATTTTTCTGATTATAGTTATAATTTGAAGGAATCAAAGCTGTTGTCATTTTGTATTAAAGTTTAATAATTAGAAATAATTTAGAACATTTGGAAGAAAAGCTAAACCTGAAACAGAATTTGAACAACAATTCTCATATCAAGCAAATATTTTACCGTTTAGTTATCTGGATCATTGCTTCAACCTGTTTCTTACAAGAAGGCAGGAGGAAGTCAGTTGGGAGATGATAGCATGAGTTATTGTAAACAAAAAAGTTTATGAACACGGGTATTATTTTCAGTTGTTTTGAGATACAACTGTTTGAGAGCTGCTCATATATCTACAATAATAATGATACATAGGTTATGTTCACAACAAATGCTAAAAAATTAAACTGTTGAACTACTTGCAACAGTATAAATACAGAAAAGAGTCAACTAAACTATCTCACTTTGGCTTACATCCCTATCACTATATCCAACATCTGCTTCTGGGAATGCTGAAAGGCAACTCAAATTTTTTCAGCGGATACATGGTCATTTGCAAATTTAATACGAAGTAGAATTACTTATTGATATAATTTGGAAATTAGAAATAATTTATGAAATTATAGAATTACAGACCAAAAATCTATCATTAACTAATGTTTAGATACAATCTTTATATTACTGTATATCTTTTTGTTAAATTTTAAATCATCCTTCAGAAAACTAAATGACTTTAAACATAATAAATTTCACTATTACAAGTACTAGTGAGGATCAATCATAATTACTACAATCTTGAAACACATGCTTTAACTTTTTCTAGGTAATAAGGACACTCAAGGAGATATTTTTCTGTAACAGATCTTCAGTCTAGATGATTAAGACTTTTTCCATTTTCTCATTATTGAATTTCTGACAATTTTTGCTCCTGCGGTCTGTCTAACCTTTGATCTCTATATTTTTTCTTAATTTACCTTATAGCAGATTCATTTATGATGAAAGTGTAAACTACCTATTCTTTCAGCAAACGATTTAGCTTTATTTTGAAGAAACGTTACTTTCTTTAACCTTTTTGATATTTTTCCACTAGACTTTTTGTTTAGATGACATTATTGACATTTAAGGATAAAAGAAAAATGAACTAAAATACACCCATTATACATAATGCCAACATTCACAATATTTACTAATATAGAACAATGTTTACTATCTGTATAAGTTCACTTGCCATTAAAATTGGAGAAACTACACAAACTAAAATTTGAGTTAATGAATATTCCTATTTTCTCCATCTGATGATTGCAAATGAATTGAGCTAAAATATATTTAAGATTAAAGCATTAATAATTATCTAATTCTTTATCTATAGTTTCATTATATTTGTTAATCCCCTCTGCAAATATGTGAATTTTAGCTTTAAAAATATGGAAAATAGTTGCAAATATCAAATGATAAATATGCAAAATACACAAATATGGAGCAAATCTTTATTTTTGTTCAATCAAGTTAATTTAAATGTTGTTCCAATGTATTCATGTTTCTTACTTTTTAATCAAGCAATTATATTTCATATATATCACTTTCTATTATAATTTGGATTTTAAATTATAATTTTTAAAAAATTTTTAGAACCCACCTGTACTATATTATTTTAAAAATTTTAAAAATAAAATTAATTAAAAATTAAATTTAAATTTTTTTTTAATGTAGATTAATTACAAAGTCCTATAAATTTCCTTCATTTCTCATTTGTCACATTTAGTTTTCCTATAAACATTATAGTTACTATCAATTATATATATTTTTTAAACTAAAACAAACCTTATCTCTTTTTAATTTCTCTTTTTCTCATTATTTAGTTAAATCCAACAAATAAATATTTGAATTTATTTGCTTGTAGAGTTAGATGTAAATTCTTTTAAAAAACTATTGTTTCCTGAATTTTTAATTTCTTTTTATAATTTCTACACCTGGAAACATAACTGTCTATTTAATCTGTAATCATTTCAATTTTAAAAATTATAGGATTACTTTATTGTGAAATTCAAATCTATAAATCATTTATCTTTCTGTATTATTAAATTTCTCCAATTTTATTACTAGATCTTCTAAATGTTTTTTAACAGTGTGTATGTGTGAAGTTGTTTTGCCAATTTCTGAGTAACTAGATAAAAATGATTCTTATAAACATTTTCAGATTGTTTAAAATACAAGGCTATAAAAGATTTTTTTTCTAAAGAAAAAATATTTATCTTAAAGAATAGTTGCATTCATAAGTGTTTAATAAATTCTTAAAATGATTTTTCATTTAATAGCACATTAATTAATCTTGTTTACAAACTTTCAAGGAATTTTAATACCAATATACTGATAATCATCTGGTTTTCAATATAAAAAGCTTTTCTATGATCTTTCTAGAAAAAATATTGCTCATATTTGGAAAATGTTTCATGTGAAATTTTTTATTTGCTACTCTTTTGACTAAATACTTCAACGTTTAAAGAGAGTTATTTATTTTTTACAACTGTTTTCATTGTTATACAGTTCAAAGTATTCTGATTCATTTGAAAGTAGATACACCACTTATATTTGTTTTTTATCACCCACTTAAACTACTTACTATATCTTTCATAAACTAGTATTCTTTCTTCTAGTCCTTGTTATCAAGACCTGTTGTATTGTTAATGTGACCAAACAGAAAACAATATAACTGATTATGAAGTGAACATTTAAGATTTGTGGATTTGTGATAAAATAAAATATAAAGGAAATAAATTTAAGTTTTTTAGTACATTATATATAACAAAGAAGAAAGGTTAAAGTTATGATCCTTTGACAATAAACAATTATTGTTGACTATGAATCATCATAATGGATCTATGTCAATATAAGTAACGTTTATATTACAAGAAATACAAGGCTAACAATTACAAAACTAAATGCATAAAACTTAACCAATGATTAAATAAAGAAATATTCAGTAGCTAAATAAGAATATAAACTTCTTAATGCAAGTGATACTGAAAGCAAGCATATAAAAGCTTTGAACAAACACGGCAAAATTTTAAAATAAATTTTCAATTTCCAAATATTTTGTTTCTTTCAAAAACAAGTAATTTCACATCAACAAACCTGAACAGACAGCCTATAATAGTGTGAAAAACTCAGTACTAGAACTAAAAAAAATTACATGCAATAAAAAGATAAACTCTAATCTCTTATTATAAACACTCTATTCATTTGTATTCATTAAGTGCTGTAATTCAAAACAACTGAACTAAAACTGGAACAGAATTCAACACAATATCCAAAAACTATCCATACTTTTCTAGCACTGTTTTACTTAGCAGACAAATGTTTTTGACTCACTTCATAAGCCTACATCGGATCTACATCCAAATTCAAAGTTTTGATGTTGTAAATTAAAATGTGCAATTGTTCTATGATGTTTTATTTATAAAATTTAAAAGATGGAATATCCAGGCTTAAGGTATGAGTGTACATTTGAAATTTAGGAATTAAAAGCTATAAAACATATGGTAAAATAAAAGAATATATTGAAGTAATGTGTGTCTTACGTTATACTTTGTTCTTCAAGTATAAAAATACTTTCGTGCAGAAATGAAATGTAACTATGGGCAACCCCTTTCAGGGGACATATACAAGTTTGTGGTATGGTCAATTGAGAAGAAATTCATGATGATTTCCTATACTCTAAACTAGATTGCAGATATTATTCTCATATTATGGGAATCTAAACTGAACATTGATAAATTATTAGAGGTATTTAACAATAATCCATATGGCATGGCCAAACATTAAAACTCCACCAATTCAGCAATTCCACAGGGCACTTTCTTGACTTAAACATCACTTTCAGAAATGGGGTATTACCATTGATCTCTACTACAAATCTGATTTTCATCCATTTTCATATCTGCATGTTCCAGCAACCTTTCACATACAAAATAATTGCCTAAACAGAGCATTGGCCTTCACACACTGTACAGATTTAGTAGAATCATGATAGAACTTAAATGCATTGAGAAAATTTTGATCATACATAGTTACAATGGAAAACTAACACAAAACTTAACTCAAAATTTTGATCTGAATAACAGGGAACAACTCTCCTTTGGTGATAGAATAAAATATGAGTCCAACCAACCTAAATTCAGACCTATAATTATGGACTTAGATCCCAGACTAAGTTCAATTTATAATCAGATAACCATTACTTAAATTACCACAGATGCTATTCAGAAACATTACAGTTCATAAGTTCTTATGCAATGGCAAAAACAATATAGATATTAAAAGAGAACCAGAGGTATATTCCATCCCAATCACAGATGAAAGATTCAATCAACAGTTAATCATTATTCAGTAGACTCAAAGAGCATAAATGTAACATTGACAACAACGTCAATAATATAATAGCCAATTATGAAACCTGGGCTGTTTGCAAATCCAGATGAAGCAAAATTCATATGGCACATCATCAATGAACACCATTTACGAATTTTAGAAACACTTGAAATAAATAAAGTCACTATGAAAGGGAAATACATAAATTACAAGGATTGCAAATCTTTATCTGTTGCATGCAATTGGTTTATAACCATTCACAGAAGAGAACTGTATAGGATTGTCACAATTTATAGTATGTTATAGAAGATATTAAGAATGTTGTATAAATTTTATTTTACCATATGTTCTATTGTTTATAATTCCAAAATTTTGAATGTACACTCATACTTAAATCCTGGATATTTCATCTTTTAAATTTTATTAAAATGTTATACAAGATTTACAGTATATGGATGGAGGATTAGAGAATACAAAATACATTTTAAAATTCATAACCTTACTGCTATAGTATATCATTCAATCACACACAACCTGGAATAGCAGCAATAAAGTTTATTCAACTGGAAAAACTAACATTTCTGATCATTTTTAATGATATTTTTGCTGTTATTCAAGTTTGTGTGAGTGAGTGAGCAATATAACCTGAGAGAGATCATTAAAAATCATCAAAAACATTAGTTTTTTTTAATTAAACCTTTTTCTGTTATTCAAGGTTGTATGTGATTGAGTAAAAACACATTTCAAACAGAAGAATAATTTTTCATTCTATTGTCTTACACACAAAATGATCCCACAGTAGTCATCATCTTGTGACTTGCATGGTTGCAACTTTAGAACAAGTTCTGTTAGACCAAGACTCCACTACCGTAAAAACGGGAGTAAAACCCCTCGCTGTAAAAGCTTTTAATCATGTGACCCTGATATTTTATGCCTGAGCAAGTCATAAAACCAGTGTAAAAGCGAGTTGAGTAGGGTTCAACTTTCGACGCAAATACAGCCGTAAAACAGTATCTTCCACCAATCAGAAGTCTGTGAAATCTAGGTCATTGTGACATGGTGCTAAAATGGCGGAAAACGAGCTTTTGTGTACGTTCCCTCATGGCTTCTCTAGAATAGATCTAGAAAGATTTATCGAAAACATCCGAAAGTACTCATATATCTACAACAAGAGGTAACCCAATTATAATAATGGATGCCAAAGGAAAATCCTTCAATTTAGAGAAGTATATAATAAAAAAGCTAAGCTTATAAGTGCTGTATATTATCTTAATAATACAATAATAAAAGTTAATATATGAAAGTAAAGATATTTTTGCTACATTTTTAATTATAGTACAGAAAAAACTCGTAGAATATAATCATTGTGTTTATATTGATATATCACATATACAACTGTCTTCCGTTTCCACCAATTCACATGCGAAGAAGTATTTACTTTCGACACTTGGGGCATCACCATTGCCATAAAAACTTCATTAGCCAGACCTCCATTGCAATCCAGACGCAAATGCAAATAGGTCACGTGATTGAAAGCTTTTATGGCAAGGGGTTTTACACCCGTTTTTACAGTAGTGGAGTCTCGGCTTTACCTGGGAAACAAAGACTACAGAACAGACTCATATTGTTGAGATTACATATTACAAAAGTTCACATTTAAAAAAAAATATTTAAATGAATATTTAATCTCAAATTGGTATTTTGTGAATATTTTAAGACAGAATTTGAATAATTGGTTTAATTTTTATTCTAATTGTAAAAATGAGCAAAGATTTATTTAAAAACATTTAACTGAAAAAAACTTTAGCTTCTTAGATAGTATTCTTGTAAATGATTGAAGAAAATTAAAGAATTGTATCCTATTTTTACAAGGAATTGTCAAAATGTTATATTTATTCTCCCAACCATAAAAAAAGAAGCACAAATTGCAAACCAAATCCTTTATCTTTAAATATTCATATTGTTTTATTTCATTTCAAACCCACTCCATAGCTAAATCAATGATATAATTATTTTAAAAATATGTTTTCAATAAGTTTTACGAATAAATTTGCAAAGTTTATGAAATAAAACATTATGTAAGTGTTTTAAACTGAAGTTTATTCTAAGTACTGTACATTGAAATTAGTTTTGGATTCTATTTCAAATAAACTTTCACAAGTAAATGCTTTGAATTGCATAAAAAGTATAATGAAAATAAATATAATATACAGTTGACCCCCCTATAAGATCATTGATTTTTCCGTTTTATCTGAATTACATGTTGTACTAGTCACTTAGATTTTACAAATACGTGTGCCGGACTGTGAATGGCTCACATATTTGTAAAATCTAAGTGACTCGTACAACATGTAATTCAGATAAAACGGAAAAATCAATGATGATATAGGGGGGGGTCGACTGTATATATTTAGTATGTTTCGACATTCTTGTTTTAATCATTATTAAAAAATCTATTTACTTTGGTAAGTTTGTAAGTTAAACTGGAAAAATATATATATATATATATATATTTTTATAAAACTTACCAATAGTGCTGGACCATCTATTTCCCGATTTTCAAATGCAGGAATGCAGTCATCAAGCTGAAACTAATAAAAGCAAATATTTTCAATTGAAAAAAATTAATAAAATTTTTTAACTATTTAAATGATCATAAACAAATTAATAGATTACATGTTCCAAAGAATATTTTTTATCAATAATAATATATAAAATGTCTTTAGTTATAAAATACAGTAATGTTTGATTTGTTTGAAGCTGTTCAATAATTTTGCAGTTATTTTCTTTAAGATATTAAAAGTTTTGAATTCTGGAATGGTTATTATCTATCATTATATAAATATGTAAGTTAATTAAGTTTATTTCTAAATTTATTTTTAGTTCATTCTTAAAGAATATATGATTTTAAAACTAATATGTAATTAATTTTATTGTAAGATGCAGGTTAAAAAAAAAAAATGCTATTAATACACAAACTAAACTAATAAGGAAAAATTTTTGTTGACAAAATTACACACTATTGGAAAAAAGTTGTTGCCAACAATTTTTGAATAAAATTTCACTATATTTTCTGGAATGTTTAAAATATGATTTTTGTCCTTTAAAGGAACCTACTTAAATGCAAAATTAAAAATATAAACAGTAAAATAAAAATAAACCAAAAAAGCATAAAGCTTAAAGCTTATGAGAAAAATATAAGACCTGAAAACTAAATGCTGTAAAACTGATTAAAAATAGCTTGGTAATAATACCAAACTGTGATAATTGTGCACAATTATTTGAGAAATACTACTCTAGTATAATTAACAATATGTACAGTTGAGTCTGCATAAGACACTCCAACACTCCAAGGGGAAGTGGAAATGTGTCAAGTTATCCGACATAATGACTAAAACAAAGTTAAAAAAAAAAAAAAAAACAAAACAAACAAAACTACAATTAGGAAAATACAGTAGTGCTTTATATAGTATATGCAATATACAATGTATCTCTCTGACCATCCATCACTGGAACTAAAGTTGCTTTCTACTCCAAGTATCCTCAACGATTTCCATCGCTTTTTGTTTCAGTATTGCCCTGAAACAGGAAGATTTTATGAACGGATTTGCTTTAGCCAACGTACCAGAGCATCTTCAACATTCTTGAATGGCAACTTTCTCTGGCGTTTTCAAGACAGCTGCTACAAGACCCAAGAAAAAGTTTCTTAATTTCCTCTTTTTTCTTCATAATTCCCACCAATGTTGTTCTTGGAAGGTTTTCTGGTTCTGCAAATGCGGCTTGCAAAGTTTTATTATATTCAAATTCAGATATAAGTTTGTATTTTTCCTTCAGTGTAAGCATTGTTAGGTTTCAGATACTCATTTCTAACAGAAATATGAAACATTTGCTACAAATAACATATGAATGAAAAGTGAAAAAAAAATGCAAAATCGAATTCTGCTGTGACATTAATCTGTGTGATGATTTACTTTCGACACTTGGGGCATCACCATTGCCNGATGACTTATGCAGACTTATATTGACTGTAATTATTTGTGTACATATATATGAATAAATTATTTTTATTTCAACTATCTAATAATTTTCATTTATTAAAAAGAAAATCATTAATTCAATTTTAGTAATAAAGATGTCAATATTTTCTATATTGAAATCTTTATCACAGTTAATACAGTAAGTTATCATTACTATTCATTTTTTATATCAAAATACTATTCTTCACAACAATAAATCTAAATAAATATTATTTGAGAGACTTTTTTTATATCTTGTTTTAAATAAATACATTTTAAAACATGGTATTTGTCATTTCACTTTTATTTTTAAAACAATATTTATATTTTGCAATAGTAACCTCCAAACATATGCAAAAATTTTAAAAATTTCTATGTATCATATTTCATCTTTTCAACTGAAAATTAAGAAATAGGGTGAAGTCTGATATAGATTTCAATTTGATATACAAGGACAAATCAATAATTACTAAATAATTAACATTACTTTAATTACTAAAATTTTGAAAATAAATATCCAATTATTTCTGCTTATACAGATGTCTGTCAAGAATATTAATTAGAATACTAGGAACTACAAAGTCAAATGCTTTTCCTCTTTCTTAAATTGTTTAATGAAATAATTATCTTTTTTTTTTTTAACAATTAACAAAGTTATTATTTCATTCCTTCCTGATTTTTATTTACTCCAAAAGAAATTGTTAAGTTGTTTATTTTATTTAATATAATTTTAAATTCAAAGTTCTATTGCTTATGTTACCAAAAACAAAAATTGGGAAACAAAAATTATTTCATGTAGAAACATACCAAGTATCACTAGATTATGATATACTGTTTTTAAATAATTGTTACTGTTATTGTAATTTTGTGAGATTATTGAGTGGATTACTTATTTTGGGATTATTTGGTAGGAGTAAACAATAATTAGACAGAATTATCAATATATGTACAAGATGTCAATTCCATTTTCTACCTTCAAGTCAAATTATAATAGTTCAATTAAAAGTAATGTAAATACAGCATAAAAAATCTAGGAATTTTTGGTTTATATTTAGCATTAATATAAAATAAACCTAAACTTTATAACAAAATTATTAAACACCAAATTAATTTATTAGATTTGTATATAAATTTTAAACATAATATTGAAAAAAATTTTTGTTTACCTTAATTGAATTTGTATATAAAAATAATTTATATACACATTCAAAGATAAAGTTATGGTAATTTTAATGATAATACATACTGTAATGCATATTCTAAAAATGACATTGTTATAATTCACAAAAACAATTCAGTAAACCTCAACTTTCCTGGATATTCAAAATTAGCTTTTATAAATTCTTTTAGATTACAGCTGAATAATAATATCAATGACCTATCTATTTACATTATTTTATCACATTACATTCATTATAAATCAATGACAAAAAGATAGTAAAGATATGAAATGTGATTTCTAACCTTCATGTATATACAGTAGAGCGTCGTTTATCCGAATCAATTGGGGACTAGGGTGGTTCGGATAACTTATTTTTCGGATAACGAATCATGTACGAAAAAATATATTAATTTATCCCATGTTAAAATTTTTCTCCGTTGCGTGTCGCTTTGCGTTGAATTTTCGTCGATGTTAAGCCTAACGAAGACTATTGTATCGTTAAAAATTATTTTTTTATTTTATACAAACAAAATAAATATATTGAAAAATATAAAAACAATAAAAAATTATACTTCAGATGTTAATTTAGTATCAAAAACGTAAAATATTTGAGTAACCCAAGAAATAGCCGAAGATTTCAGCGCCACAGCACTAGCGAAAATTTAAATTTGCCGACTGGAATGCTTTCGGATAACAGACGTTTCGGATAACCAGCTTTCGGATAAACGACGCTCTACTGTATAATAATACTAAAAACACCAAACTGCTCTGTTATAATTTTAATTTTCAATGCAAAAAATCTTTTAAAATGAATCTTAAAATTGGTACAGTAATTAATTTTATTTTACAGATAACCTCAGTTATATATTTTTAAATTATTTATTTGATATATTTTGTATCAACTGCATAGATTACAATCAAAAACATACACCTTTAAAAAATCCAGCAATGAAATTATTTGGAAAATATGATAAAAACTCAACTGTAAAAGTTTAAAAAACTAACATTTCTTGGAAGCCAATTTAATTCTACAAAATAGAGAAACTTTTAAAAACTGTATATAATAAGCATTTTATTTTTCTGTTTCTAGCATCTGCCACTATTTCAAATGTTAAGATATTCAATTTTGTATATCATGATTTCTTTAATAGCATATATAACTTGAAAATGTAGTAGTAAATAACAACCCAGAAATATTAGAGAAGTTGAGGCTGAAGTTTTAAATGCAAAAACGTGTACGTCAGACATTCAGCGCCGCTTTCCCGTAAGCCTAGAAGTTTGACAATGATGTTTGGAATGTCGAGCATGATTTCACTGACTATCCAAACACCATTGTCAAACTTCTAGGCTTACAGGAAAGCGGCACTGATTGTCCGACATACATGTTTTCGCGTTTAAAACTTTGGCCTCAACCTCGCTATTGTAGATTTCCTCACTACTAAGAGAGAGAAAGTAGACTGACTCATTACTTAATCTTTGCTGTAGTCAAAATAATTTACAATCAAATAATTTATTCACTTCCAAAATTAGCAGTAAATCAAGGGTGGTGATAAACTGTTGTATCTCAAACGATAAAAATTACATAAATTATAATCCAAAAGTTTGAATTTGAGTCTGAAAACTTGGTAGCAATGTCATTTTCAATGCAAAATCATACATTTAAAAATAGTAATTTCCACTTAACGAATGATTTTCTAATATTTATGAAGAAAATTTATTGAAACGTTACAAAGGTAGCACTGTTTAGATACTATATTGAGATTTAACTATATTTCCATTGTACATGATTATTCTATACATCCAATACTGGTTATACATAATCATTTGAACAACAAACCAAATCACTAAAATAATTGTTTTTATTATTACAAATTCAGGATCTATATCTTTGTAATGTTGTATTCTATATTTAATGTATTTATGTTTAAAATATTGGTTACTCATAAATGAATTATGACTAAGTATTTTAACAGAAAGTGGTTTAAAATATCTAGAAAACTTGTTATGATATGCACAGAAACTTTTCATTATGTTGTCGTCTGTATCAAAAGTCCAATTTATATAGTTTAAAAATACAAAGCAAAATTTTATATAGATTTAAGGAAATTCTAATTTTTTTCAATTTCAAACGAGGAACTATAACCTATGTAACAATTTAATTGAGGAACTAAATAAGTTTATGAATATATAAATCAAAAACAATTTACTGATAAGGATTTGGACTATGTAATTCACTGATTAGAAAAAATTATAAATAAATAAATAATTATAATACAGTAATAATATTATTATTTTGATAAAGTAAATGATTGAGATAAATTTAATATTTTATATGTAGGCTCTTAAATTTATAACCAAAATATTTCACTTCTGATATTAAAAAAAAAAATCATTGAATCAATAAATTTTCACTACTATTGTTTTAAAATATTGCAGATACAACCTGAAGTTCCTGATTTAAATCATTTCCATGTATAACTGGTTTTTATTTATTTTTAACTTCCCTTGAATTTTTACTGTTAATTAGTAAGTTTTTAAATTTAAAGTTTTTTATATATTAATTTTAAATACCAGAATTTTGTTTTAAATGAAATTTCTTTAATCAATTTAATTTCTTTATCAAAACTTTGTGATAAAATTATATATTTATACAGATTGATTTTATTCAAATCCACTAAAATATATTCAATAAATAATTTACATTTCTTCCTTCTGTCATTTAATTAATAATTTCTTTAATTCAAATTATCATTACCAGTTAATAGATACATTAGTACAATTCGCTTAATTACTGTTAAAATTAATATTAAAAGTGATACAATAAATATGGTAATTTTTCCTAACTTATTTGAATTTTATAATATTAATATCAGCATAGTTTACAAAAGATTTACTTCTGAAACATCTTAGAAAAAATAAAATGACAATTTTAAAAAATAAAAATAAACATAATTTCTCAAAACAAATTCAGTTATAATTTAGATTATTTAACTTGATGTTAGAGTCAATTTTAATTGTAATTATAATAAAAAAAAAAAACACCTGTATATTTTCCTTAATTTAGTGGGTCTTTCTCAACTTTACCAGTTCCTAACCTATTTGCTAATTTGCTTAATCATGTTAGCATATTGAAATTTCATTCCGCAAAAATATTAAAAATTATAAATAACGATTTTATAAATAAATAAATATTCATTAAAAAATTATTTGTAAATGCAAAATAATATTGTAAAAATTTTATGAATTTGTAAAACTAAGTAAATTAAGATAATAATGTTACATAAAATAGTGTAATAGTGTACATAAAGTAACTATAAAGTTAACAATGTATGTTTTTAGTTTAACAATCTTTTATAAATGAGATCTTAGAACTGTTCCATTGTAAGTTAGTGTGTTGATTGAGAGAGTTTTCTTGTACTAGGATCTCTCTTTCTCTATTCTAATCAGATTAAGACCAGTTGTAATCGTTGAACTTTCTATTTTATAAATACTTGTAATTTTTGTAACTTTCTACTAATCTAATATACGTATATGTTTTACAAACTCAATTTATCTCATATTTATCTTAAATCTAAATACTCTAGGTTGTTTTTACTTTCCTCTGGTGTAAGGTTTTTTAATCAAATATTGATTGATTAGACTTACATATGCAGCATATTAAGGCATTTTAATTTAAAAATATAGCTTTAACATACTTTAAATTAAAATATACTAAAAGTATTTTAATATTTCTATAACGTTCGTTAATATTTTGTCTTTGTGATTGAAATTAATAAACAGTTTAACAGTAAAAACAATAGCATAGTATATACATGTAGAGAAAAAGTATTTGTTTTCAATTTATATACTTCCTTAATTTTCTATTCCATATAGAGTAGACTTTTCTGTTGTATAAGGGGAAATAAGATTATGTCTAGTCCATTCACAAAGGGCCGACTTGATGGGTGAGGCAACGAGGTAACTATCTCAAGTGGCAAAATGAACAGTCAAAATACTCAAAAGGAAAAATAAATAAGCCAAATACTACGAAGTCCCATAGATGTATAGAAAACTTCCAGAGCTTGAAGTTTTCTATAAACAACCATTCTGGAATCAGGGTCGGTTCGCCTCGGGTGCAAGTTACCGTCGAGTCCGCACCGCTTTCACATATCAATAACAAGAAACGGTGCGGTTAGCGTCACGCTTCAACCGTCTTTAGTATAAAAACAAAACACGGCATGCAAAAACAAATACGTACTAGAAAAAAATCGACAAAAAGTTAAATTTTATTAGATTCATCAAATATTTAGTAATCGATCATTAACAAACCTCGCAAAATATTTTACATTACTGCATTTTATGCATAAATCATTATATTATTATATCGAGACGACACATAAATCACGGAATAAGGAAACTTAAGAAGAATCCAAAATAACTTTTGAAAAGATTTATCTTTTAAAAACTTTTAAAAGGATGATGATGTCTTTAAATGTTAAATGCTTCAACTGCAACAAACACATTTCAATTAAATATATAATTATTTAAAATTTACTAATGAAAATAAAATTCTTTATTGACCTAAATAACTAATTAGACATTTTGACACGAACTTAAGACCTGATTTCATTACAATTTATAAAAATGAAACAAAATTACAAATTTCTCTGACGTATCATGAAATAATTACTCAATTACAATTAACACGTGATTATAATCAATAGAGAAAGTGAAGTTATAATTACAATAGTTGCTAAAACAATTAGTAATTGTAATCTATAAAAGCAATTTCGAAACATTTGCTTTAACTAAATACCAACTTTTACCTTTTTATCAGAAAAATAAAATGGAATGACATCGTACCTTTCTCAGCCAATTCACTATATGTTTCGAATTCCAATCCTTGACAATATTATAATGTGGAAGTTTCAAACGTTTTGTTGTTGTTGTCATCTTACGAATTAATTTTTACATATCTTCAACGTGTTTAATTTATTCGATGGGCGAAAAAAATGTGTGTCACTCTTTACAAACAACTCTTTTTATTTTTTTAATTTTTTTTTTACTTTTCGTCGCTTACAAATGGGAGGGTCCGAATTTCATACGTCATATATATCGTCACGCCGTCTGATAATATTATAACTCGTAATTTCCTGTACAGAGTTTTTGTTTTTAATTATTAATTTATAATTTCGATTTGAATAATATATATATATATAATTCAAAATGTATTTATATTTTATTATTCAAAATTTAATAAAATTTAATAAAAATATAAAAAAAATAATTTTGTTCCGCAAGAGGGCGGTATTTATCGGTTACTCCGTTGTAAGCGTGGTCGAAGATGTTGATGAAAGTTCTTTAAACATTTAAGATTAGTAACTAATTTAGTAATTACAAATTAATGATTTCTCCAATGACATAGCCCACCAGTGATCGAAACTACTGAACACTGCAGGGTCGGGGGTCAGATCTTGTCACGTTTTTCTGATTTTTTCCGCGTGTCTGAAGCTAGTTTTTCACGTGCAATGATTATTAGCTGTAGTTTCTTTGCGTGTGGAGACACGCAAATTTGACTATCGCTATTGCCAATAATCATTACTCCAATAAAAGTAATCAGCGGGTCGCTTTACATTGATATGCTCTTGAAGCCATTAATCATTGCCTGTTGAACCTGGCTTAAAACCTAAATAGAGAACAATTACCACAGAAAATCCACTCGGGAAACGTCCTCTTGGTAGATGGCTCATATGTTTCTTTGTATTATTTCATGAATAAAACGATCGATAACATCCCATGAGATTATAAGCCATTAAATGTTGTTCAGGGATCTTCATATAGATCTTAGCCTTTAATGAAATTATCTACGTCTTACAATGTAATAGAAACATACCTTATCTACGGTGCTCTTCTCTTTCCATGTAATGTTATTTCGAAATTCATTTATGGCAGCTTCAAACTCATCCAGTACCTCTCGCATTTCTTCCATGGCTACAAAATATATATAATTTAATATAAATTCTTCCGCTTTATTTAATTTATAAACTATAATTCTCTAACATATTTCTAGCATTAGCGTAGACTTTTTTTTTAAAACAGGAACACAATCGTATGCTTTTATCGCTAATTATTTCCTTTTTTCGTTTCGTTTATGAAATGATATTTTTATGTGATGGAGAAGACGGAAGAAAATTTAGAAATTTATAATTAATACATATTAACATTGCATATATTTCGATATTCAAAGTGATTTATATCGCGTGTTGATAAACTGTATTTGAAAAGTAATATGGTTTGAAAACAACGGGCCACTTTACGGATTTCTTTTATGAAAACTGTGAATATCTTGAAAGATGAAATTCTAAAAGAGACGATAGATAAAGTCCTAAGTGATAAGTCCGTCAAATTAGAAAGTGTAATGGGGGAAGGAATAACGGACACCATGTTCGATGGAGACGTTTTGTTAGCAGAATTGGAAGATACAGAGAAGTATTCTGACAGTCATGTAACGATGAAACGCGTAGTGACTGAGAAATTGGGAATTTTATACAAATTAAATATTTGGCAATTCAAAGTTCTGCGGTCAAAAGTAAATGTTATCCTCAAGTTTCAAGGGTTTTTGAATTCTGACACACGATGGCGTATGTCTTGGCAACCATTAAGATACTTCTAGTGTCGTTAGTGTTCATCTGCAATTTTTAATTTCTCATTGGAGACATCCCTTATAAAACCAGATATGTGTAAGTGGTTTATGTTTATAAACTATTTATGAAGTACTTAAACCTTGCGAGACAGAGAAGCATAGGCACACTTTAAGTATTTTATTTCGGATCCTTCTGTTGGAATCAACGATCGAAATTATTGTCTAATGTTATACGACATCGTTACGTACAATACAACGCATTGTGTCGCGATGTTTTGTAAACGTTCTTCCGTTACGTAATAAAAGGTTGGTGGCGCTGTTGATCCCTCGGGGAGTCGTTAGAGACGGTGACTTCGTTTCACTCTCCCATTTTCAGCGCTAAACTTCCGTGAGTCAAGACAGTGTAATCTTTGTGTATTCTTTGTTTCTTTGCTGTATAACCAGTTACGCGTGTCTAACTTGTTTTTACTAATCTCTCCGACAAGCAACATGTTGTCTAACATCTTTTTGGCCCGAGCGATCTCCGCTCTTACACGAGTCATGGACGTCTGTTCCCGCGCATTCCTGCCCATGTGTGTTGCCAAATCTCTTTGCAACATATTTCCTTTATATTTCTTTTTGAAGTAACTAAAACACATAACTTAAATGCATACATATTTACAAGTTGAGTCGGACAGGAGCTTTAATGATTCTTCTTGATCTAGTTTTTCACGTCGGAGTTTGATGCTCTTTTTCTTTTGGGATTGATACTGTTTCTTCCTCTCCTTCCTTTTTCTCAGTTTGTTCATTTCCATTTTCTTGTTTCTCTTCACCTCCTTTCTCTTCAGGTGCTTTTCTAGGACTATGATTTGGTTTCTTCTGTTGGTTTATTCTGTTTCTTCGGTACTGTTGTCCGTGTGGGTCTTCTATTAAGTATGATCTGGGCTCATTCAGAGGTTTTACAACAGTGCCAGAGACCATTCTTTCCCTGTATGCACTAGAACTTGCGTTGGCGGTCTCAGCGGATTTAGGAAAACACTACCTCTGTCTTAATACATTGACATCTTGTGCTCCAGTTGCTGTTGGATATCCTCTCTACGAAATTGGTATTGGTGATAATGGGATGATTTGCATGGAAGTATTGACCTCATGTTCCTTACAATGCATAGCTGAGCTGGAAACGGTAACGAGTTCCTAAGAGTGTTTCTCCAATTTTGCAAAGCCAAATACTGATCTTGTCCTGCTTCTGTTGCCTTCTTAAGTATGTTGTTTTTTATCGTTTGTACGTACGACAATGCATTTAAATTTAGTGTAAACAAGACTAATTCGCTCATATTATTTGAATGTCTTCTAAATTTTCATCGTACGACGAATCTTTCTTTTCTCGTAAAATAAAGTTTAAACCCGACGAAGCTTTACGAAAACTGTTTTTCGCGAATAAACGCAAAAAATAATAATTGCGACTGATATAATTGACGATAAATACATTTATTTTCTTCCAAAAATTCTAAAACGTTCTTTTTTCTGTTTATTCTTTCAATTCCATCAAAAGCCACTATGATATTTTCGATAACGGGTTTAAATGCTCCATTCCTTGATCTGTCGTCTTTCTCTTTATTTTTCAAAAATATTTCCAAATCATCGTCGTATTTGATGGCAATATCCGTGACGGAATTATCCCGACTATTTTCTTCTTTGCCGCTTTATTAAAATAAACGCAAACGGACCAAAATTCTTTTAAGTGAATTTTGGCAATTACTTTTTGCTGGCTGCTCAATAAAATTCCGAAACGTGGATCCAGATACATTGCCACTAGCATACATTCGTCTTCCATCAAGACAATGGCGTAGCGTGGGTGTCAGCCGCCCGGGTCGGAGGAAAACTTCGCCCCCCTTATTTAGGTATCTCAATTTAAAAGATTAAAATTCAGTTTCGTCACAGAATAAGTAATGAAAAATTCCGTGCTACTCTTGTCACCTTATTAAAATCGCTGACCCGGACGGCGGGTGAGTTTTGTTCGAATAGACCTGACACATGCGTATGTCATTTTGCAATGCGAAGAATAATGTGCAGCGCATGCTGGTTCTAAATCGGTTACAGTTAGCGACTAGGGTGACTTGGATAGGAGTAACGCCAGTGACCTAGCTGTATTGGATATTGGAGGTGTATATATATACGAATAAATCGTACAAGCAGGAAAAAAAAAGGTCAACAAGTTGCGCACGATATCCCCGGACGGCGAGTCGATTCCCGGACTATCCGGATGGATGGTAACACTATTCCGTGCTCATTTCAATCCGTCCGAGTCGTAGGTGGACGAAAATATGAAATATAATGGTTCAAATTCTTACAAGATATTATTATTATTTATTGTGAAATTTTGCCGCCCCCTAAAAAGTGCCACCCGGGGCGGGCCGCCCCTGCCGCCCCCACTACGCTATGCTACTGCATCAAGATCTTTTCGTGGGCATTTAATTGTTTTATTAGCGAGGGTTTTCGCGTTGAAAACGTCGGCCGCAACCTCGCTACTAACAAGAATGCGAAATCGTTGTCGTACCTTTCTAATTTGATTTTTGTTTCTGATAAGATCCAACATCTCCATAATCGTTTGCAAAGTCTTTCACTTCTCACCGGGAAGAAAGTAAAGTTAATCGCTGGTCACTAACGCATTACACAAATTTTGACAGTCTGACGGCGAATCCAACATACTATACGTGTGCTGTACCAATTAGAATAATAGTCTAAATTAGTTTGCTTAATTGTTCTGTTCAAAGTTGCAGTAAAGTTAAAATAAAATTTCATAATTGGCGCTCGTTTCCGGTCCGTCAATTAACACAATATTAAGTTCAAATAGTTCGTATCTTCCAAACCTCGGTTCGTCAGAAAGACACGACTAGCCGAGCAGTAGTCCTGTAGCAACCACTTCACAGCGGTCGTAGCCTTTCCTTTTCAAGAAGGCTAGATCAATCTAACTTCCCGCCTTAACTTCTCCTTATATAACCGCCTTCAAGCCGACAGCCAATCAATAAGGAGTCACGCTGATCCAAGCTCTTCATCACATCGCCTCAATGGCAAGAGCCTCACGCGTCTTTGGGGTCCACCAAAGTCCAATTATAATATTTAAAAAAATGCAAAAAATGCCTTTATATATTCTTCAACTAGTGTTGCAGTGTGGTAAATGATTTACATTTCACAGATTCCACCATATTTTGATTTTCTCCGTGGTTGCAGCCTGCGTCAATCGATGTTGTAGAGCGATTATCGATTGATTTGAAACATCGATGACCGATTGTTTAAATCCATCGATGAATCATCAAACACCGATACCATCGCAGGACACTAATTCGTCGCATAAAGTGATTTGGAAATTTTCGTATTCTCTATTGTGTTCTTCTTGTTCGCCGGTTAACACGCTCGCTTCGTTATCGGTTATACAGTAGAGCGTCGTTTATCCGAATCAATTGGGGACAGGGGTTGTTCGGATAACCGACCTTCGGATAAACGACGCTCTACTGTAATTGTATATATCCGATGAGGAGAAATATATCTTTCTAAAATTTGGTACTCGAATTATTATAAAATTTCTAATAATTCCTATGTCTATCTTTCAACTATTATATGAAAAATAATCCGTAAAAGATTTCTCTAAATAATATTTATAAGTAGTCTTTTGGTATCGTTTAAAATATTTCCTCAAAATGCAAGTAGTACGTTTTTTTCTTTGTTAGAAAAACTTTAAATTTATGTAAAACCGATTGAAAATACTTTATAATTTAATTAAAATATAAAATTCTTGTAACAAAGTTGGCGTTATGAACGAATTTCTATTAGTCATTTCAAAATCAATAATAATCTCAATTCTATAGTTCTGCAGTTCCGTTGTTCTTGCAGTATCTTAATGGCGGCGTTACAGTACGGAAAAATACATAAACCTTCTCCGAAAACTTGTGGATAAACTACCGAAAATCGAAATTAAGAAACTTGACGAAGAATTGATTAATTGGCTTCCATTTTGTTCCCAGTTGAGGAAGATTCATAATGACGACACGTTGGATAAATTTCAATATTTAGTCCAATCTATGAAACCGGGTACGCAAACTATGGAATTTATGGAAATTTGTCCATTGTCTTCCGAAAATTATTCAAAGGCAACAGAGGCTTAGAGCAACGTTTTGATAAAAGAGATTTATTAGTAGAAGTAAAAGTAAAAGAATTATTAAAGTTAATAATATCGAATGTTAATGGAAATGGGAAGTTTCGATTACCATTTGTAAGCGTGGAGCTCACGATCATATTTTTCTTGTTTACGGGTTTGCCCTTTTCCGCTGCCATATGGCAAATATACGCGCGTTTAATTTGAACTTTGTGGAACAATGGTCTTCGAGGAAAAAGAACAACGTATTTGTATTCGATAAAGAGAAATAAATCGTTACATACATGGCGCAGTCGACGATCGAAGCTTGTAAGCCTTAATAATACTGAGAAGGTTT